AAAACTGGATACAAAATCCACAATCAATTACAAATTAAATTACAATTTCAAGAATCTGCAAATAAGGTGGTCTGTCCTCATGAGCAATGTAAACAACATTGTATCATTTAGATACCGAAAGTACAATATATTGAACACTGTGCTGCTGTCATTTCCCCCTAATGATAACCTTAGATGGTGAATTATAACTCACAATGAAAATTGTTCAGGAAAGTGGGTATAGAGTAGACATGTAGAACTAGATAAACTTATGATAAGCCAGCCTTGTCTACTTATTAAGGAAAAGTGGGAGGTTCTTTTTAATGAACAGTAGCTTCTCTGCTTTATCAGCCATAAGTCTGTTCCTCTTCTCATCAAGCACATGAGAGGCAGCGCTGAACAGTCTCCCGCTGTCAGTGCTTGTGATTTGATCTTACTCCGCATATTTGTCCGGGTGTTTTGATTTCAAGTGGTGGAGTAATCCCGAAGTGGTGAAAGTAATCCCGAAGTGGTGAAAGTCTTTGCAGCCGAAAGCCGAAAGGGCCTTTTTAACAATTTTCGGCCGATAATTTTCGGCGGCCGAATATTCGGTGCATCCCTACTTCTCAGCTTCTGATGATGCTTCATGCTGATCCCAGAAAACTAGCAATGTGCTGACACGCACAATTGTACGTCGATTGTGGAGCAGGGACATTACAAAATGGCATTTAAAATATAATGGAGGCATTCAAATAAATGTGGTTTTCAGTTTTAACTCTGTATTGACATGGAGGGGAGGAGGCAAGGAGAGGACTATATCATCTGCATAATACAAATATAACTAAATATTTTGAGCTTGCGTTTAAGCGGAGAAAAACACGAGAAAGCCTGAAAACAATGCTAAGAACTTTAACATCTGGTAGAAAAGTAATAAACGTTTTCATGTATTCCTTTAAAAAATATTCATAATTTGTAGTAGAAGGTGGACTCAAGTCCAATAACAGATTTTGTGTGTCCTAGTTGTCCAGTGTAGTAATAATATCTGGTACGGATTTGAGTCAATGACATGGAAGCTATTGAAAAAATAAATATATATTTTTAAGTATTGTGTCAAAATCCATTGATGATGATCAAGTGTAACACCATTTTAAAGTGTCACAAATGACAGCTTCTAACTAGGAAACTTAGCCATGTTTCACAAACTGTGTTAACCTCTAAAAATAACTGGAAATCATAACCTCCATCAAGGCAGGATTTTTTCCTACATTAGTTTTAACTAGGTGTCGATAATAATCAGTGAGTCTGCAAACTGCTGCCATCATGTGGTGAAAATGTGTTGAGCCGAGATAAGTTTACCCGTCAGGAAATTTGATTTAAAAGGATGTTCACATTTTGCAGTTCTGATTTTAAATATCATGCTGAGAAGTCACGGCATGCTGTACTTACATAGTCTTCGAACTTGGTGATTTCTTCCTCCAGCAGGTCTGTTCCCACCTTGTCGTCCTCAACCACACATGCAATCTGGAGCTTTTTGATACCGTAACCCACGGCAACCAGTTTAGACGAGCCCCATAACAGGCCTTCAGCCTTCACCGAGCGCACACACTCCTCCAGCTTCACCATGTCAGTTTCATCGTCCCACTAAAATAAAAACAGAAAGGGATAATCACCTATTAGTATTTATAAAAAAAGTTCTAAGTTTTTCCAACTCCCTGTATGTGGTATCATTTTTTAGGATTTTTGGGGAACCTGGTCTGAAGCAGACTTACAGGTTTGACGTCCAATAAGATGGAAGACTTGGCGATGAGGACGGGCTTCTGGGATTTCTTCGCTGCGTACGCTTTCAACCTCTCCTCTTTGAGTTTCTCTGCCTCTTCATCGTCCTCATCACTACCAAACAGGTCCATGTCGTCATCATCATCCTCCTCCTCGACTTTAACTGGGGCGCTTTTCTGCTGCTGGACGGTGGTGCCCTGAGCAGAGTGAAAATAATGACACACTTACACAAGGAGTAATCGACCGGAGGTTGGATAAAACTAGAACACAAGATGACTCCTTTGATGAGAACAATATGTAAGAACTCACGTTTGTGTATGGTACTGAGGGAGCAGCGGCAGGAGGCTTCTCAAGAACTGCTACCCGACACTCCAGTTTGGAAAGTGCAGCCCTCAAGTCGTCCACCACTAGAGAAACAGGAATACAATCAGAATACTTTATTTCAGGGGGAAATTTTGTTTCACGAGAGTTGCTCAATTTGACACACACACACACACACACACACACACACACACACACACACACACACACACACACACACACACACACACACTTTATAAACATAAAACATTGTAAAGTATATTGCAACAATAAATACTCAGAAATTATTATAAAACAATACATTAATAAAATATATGAATGCTGTATTGCACAGAGGTATCTAGCTGCTGACAGTGGAATAAGTCAAGTGTCAGTCTATTGACTCAAAAAACACCTTGGCAGTGTTGTGTGTAAAAAAGGGACAGGAATAAAAAGAGAAAATCATAAGAAAAAAGTATTCCAAACAAGCTTCTTCATTGGATAACAGAGAAATATTTTGTGACATACTACTATAGTGCGTTATTTTATGTTAGTTTTGTATTTAATAGTGTACTATTAGGGTGGTATTCTGTCTAAGGGCTGGCTGCAATTAGCGACATTGGACACACCTGGGCTTGGTATGCCATATGCAGGAGTCAGAAAGGCAGCCAATCAGAGGGCAGACCCCCATTTTATTATTTTGTGTTTTAAAAATGTGCTGTTTACTGTTGTGTTTCCTGTTTTTGTCTCAGTCTAAGAGCTTGGCGGCAAAATATGCCACAGTCATAGTATATAGTATGGCAAAGAAAAAGTCATAACATATGTAGAAAAAAGTAATACAATAGAGTGATAAAAGTCTTGCAGTTCATAAGAAAACAATGTTAAAATAAAATTATAAAAATACTATGTCATAAATGTCTGACTAATTTCATAAGTCAGTAAGAAGTCAAATAATGATACAATCAAAAAGTGTAGATTATGGTATGTTGTAACACATACATAAAAATGGTTACATTATAGTATGCAATCAAAAATAAAAGGCAGCCAAAATCATAATGTCATTATAGTATGTCAAAGATTCAATTAATTAATGATGTACAATGTCAGAAAGGTCATTGCACCACAAAACGTTTTCTTTGTCTGTGATACAAATGGTTTGTAATATAGTATTTAAATTGAAAAAGAATGTCCTAAAATATGTAATTTTAACAAGTATGTCATTCAATTCAAATGTTAATATATATATTTTTCTCTTAAGAAAACAAAATGGATTCCTATTTAATCAAGGTTAAACCCACCTTGGTGTAAGCTATGGTTCTCCAGCTCCAGGCCCTTGATGCGACAGATGATCTCTCCTGTATCACCTGCACCGCTGACGCTCTGCAGAGCCAAGACACAAAGGTAGGAAATAATGGACACAGTTTGTAGACAGAGAAACATTTAATAACTAAACCAGAATATTATTCCTTTAATCACACCATAATCAATCAGGCAGACCCCATAAGTGAACACACACACAGCAAGTGTCCATCTCGGCAGGAAATGCATAGAAAGAGCGTGACAGAAATATGAGTGACAGGCAGCTATTTGGACAGGGGGCACTCCACACACAAATATAATATCTAAAAGCCGACTAAAGGTCTAACAAACTCAAACTCGAGCAGGGTCCGTCCACAGATTGGCAGAAGATTCCAGAGACACACGCGGCTCTGAGGCACTTACAAGCTGGGACTGTTGGCTCAGGGGAGGTTGCCCTCTGTTACACAGTGTTGTCTTCAGCTGGGGGAGGCAGGGGATTAAAGCATGAAAAAAGGGAGGAAACTGAGGGAAGCATGTAGAAAGATCGTGTCAGAGAGTTTCAAACCGGAAGCAAACGAGCAACAAAGGGAGCTGGGAGGTTAAGTAAGATTAAGGCACAAATCACAACGAGATGTTGAAGATTGGATGCTGAATACTTAGTGAAGATCATGAAAAAAGACCAGGACAAGATAAAAGATTATTAAAAGATAACATCCACCCCCATTTCTGTAGAGTAACGTTTGTCTGGCATCAGCTGACCACCAAGCGTTTACTTTTATTAGATATTGCAGCTGGGCAAATTATTATTACCTCTAACATTTCAGCAACAATTAAATATTAATGAAAGAAGCTTAAATCTATCTAACAAGTTGTTCAAAATACATGTTCAATATACAAAAGCCTGATTTAAACCATCAACAACAAACATGCTTGTATTATCACCAGCATTGGAAAGTCTAGGTCCTTAAAATAAAAGTTTGGCTCGACAAAGGATTCAAATGTGACCAAAGATAAGTTTATTTGTATTGTATAATTCCCAAATGTGTCCTTTAAAGACAAAGAAAAAAGTAGAGGAACCCTTAGGAGAAAAGATGCAGCAACTTTTGCCACTGCAAGATTGTGCAGAATAACTTATTATTTATCACTGTAGTTATCACTATTCATGAAATTCAGTTTTGTCCCATGTGTCTTTTCCCTGGAAATTCTAAAGCCATGTGACGGGACATATGGCACGTTGTTGGCTCAGTCAATAGTACATGAGGTACCTGAGTAAAGCGTGATAATGTGTGATAAGAGGCAGAACCCCGCACAGAATGCGTACTTACTCCTGCTAAAGATTTCTGGATGTTCTCCCGGGCCCTAGCGATGTCCTGCAGAATGGTGTTGGATCCGACATCCTTAAAAGGAAAAGGAAAAAAAAGTCAACAACTTTCAAGTACTAAATATATATAAAGGCAAAATGCGTCTCAGTAGTTCTATCATTTCAATTTAGCACATTGACTACTTAATTCTATAACCTCACTTTTATGTGCATATTTGAAATTTTAATAGCAAGTCAGACTTTTTAAAAAAAAAAAACTGTCAAATTCAACATAAATCTTCTTGTTTCTTATGTCATGTAATGTCACTGGTGTAAGATTTTCACAAAAAATGAAATGGTCTAAAATCAGGATATAAACTCAGAGTGACGAGACTTGCATACCTCTGTTGAGCGTACCTCTGTTGAGCGTACCTCTGCGGGCACCTCTGTGGTTTGTGAGGAGCCGTCTGTGCGCTCGTAGAAGCGTCTCTCTGCATCGTCATAGCGAGGTTTGTCAAACCAGATCTTCTCCTGGGCCAGAAAGTCCACGGAACTCATGGTGCTACAGAAGAGAGAGTAGAGAGGGACAAGAGAGGGATGAATGAAGATAACAGAGAAGGTCAAAGACATTTATTTTATAATTATTAGAAATAACCAATAGGTTATTTATGATCACAATGATTTCTTAGCAGGGAAACAAACATTTTATCTTAAAGGGGCCCTATTATGCTCTTTTTCAGGTGTCTTATTTGTATTTTGATCCTCTGCTGTGAGATGTCTCCATGCTTTAATGTTCAAAAAGGTCTTAATTTTCTCATACGGCCTGTGCTGCAGCACCTCTTTTCAGCCTCTGTCTGAAACCAGAGCCCAGTCTGCTCTGATTGGTTAGCTGGCTGGCACGTATAATGCGTTGGAGCGCTAGCCAATAGAAGCACAAGTGTTATGTAGTGATGTCACTAAACAAAGGACTACAATCAATGCATTTCAGGCCTTCACCTGAAGTCAAATTTGGGATTTTATTATTTGCAGAGCCTTTGCATGCACAAGAAGAACTATATAAAAAACTACAGCAAAGGGAGAACCCCAAAAAGCATAACATGGCCTCTTTAAAATGGCTTATTGTATGTATTCTTTTAACTACATCACCACGAAAAACCTACTTTAAATGAAGTAAAGTTGGCAACAATGGTTCATACGAACATCAGTCACACAGTCAAATCTCAAACAGACAAGGAATAAAAAAAAAAAGGCATGAACCAACACAAATTAAAAAAGCAAATGGGCACACATTCCCAAAAAAAAAAGGAAAACTCATGATTATATAAAATAAAAAACAATGAAAGGTAAAACGGAAACATCTGGAGCGACTCCATTCTCCCGGGTTGGTCATACTTGTCCCTCAGTGGGGCGGTGGAGGCCGCTGATGCTGCTTCTGTCCGCCGACCCTTCTTCACCACCACAACATCACTCCCAGTGTAGCCATGGAAACGGCTCTCTGCAGCATCATACCGCCACTTGTCCAACCACACCCGCTCGCTGTCTGGGTGAAGGAAGCAGCAGACTCCGGTCCCCGATGCTTCAATCTTCTCTTGGACCTCAGCTGGCTCCTCTTCCTCCTGAATAGGAAGCAAAGCGTGGAAGACTTCCGCTTTCCCCTGCGGGACCACCCGTTTTTCCTCCACTGCCTCTTCCTCAGCTTCTTCTTCCTCCTCCTCCTCTTCTACAAGGCTTTGAGGGTGGTCGCTACTTCTGGAAGTGGAGGCGCAGGTGGAGCGTTTGGAGGAGTTGTTGCCATACAGGTTCTGGTAGAAAGTTGCTTCTGCACGGTCGTACAGAGGTTTCTCCAGCCACACGTCTCTGAGCAGCTCCACTGGAATGCGGGGCAGTCCGTTGATCGACTGACGATTGGTTGGGGTGACGGCTGCTTGCCAGATGACCGGGGTTGCAGGTGTCGGGGCTAGAGACTGATATCCTTCATCCGGTGTTTGAGGGGGGATGGAGGGGTTAGGTGGGGATGTGAGGACCAGAGAGTTTGGAATTGGTCGCTGCACTGATTCTTCAGCATATTGGCTTTCTGCCTGGTCGCCATGCTGGCACACCGGTCCTAAGGAAGATGGAGCCACAGACGACTGAAAGTTTGAGTGTTTGCCGGGGGCTGGGGAGGAACGCTTTGACTTGGTGGCCCCGTTGGAAGAGCTCGCCAACCAGCACTGGTAGAGGCTCTCGGCTTGCTCGTACATGCTCCGCTCAAACCACACATTAGCACACTCCGACTGCAGGCCCATCAGCCCAGCGCGGGGGTCAGATGCTGGCTGGCTTGTCCGTTTGTCTGGCTTCTCTTCTTTTTTGGTCTTACTGTCAACCGTCCCCTCAGGCTGACTCTCGGGATTGGATGAACGCTTCTTGCGGCGACGGCTTTTCCCACTGCGCTTTCCCTCTCCGTTTAGGCTGCCGCTCTCTGGGGACGATGATGCCCTATCTCCGTTTCTTTGACCTGATTCAGCCTTATTCATACACGGCCAGGCTGCAGGTGCGGACCGGTCCACCTGACAGTGGCTGGCTTTCTTATCTAACTCTGACTGATCAAGTGCAGAACACGAGGGATTCTTCTTAGACATCTTTGATCCGTGGCAGCGGAAAAAAGAGAATAACAGGTACAGGCTTTTGGGTTAGTAAGATAGACGCAGGAAGGTTTGGAGACACAAAGGGATTGATCTTTTAGACTCAGTCGTCCAAATGCAACAGTCAAAGAGCTGTACGTTTGAAACAGAGTCTAGAAATCAGACCCAGAAGGAAGCATGCAGGAAATTGAGAAGAAATCCATGCAGATGAACTAAAAAGGTTTAGTGAATGGAGTTACATGTTGGTGAATTGTTAGTATTGTCAAAACTCATGCACAGGAGATGCTGACTAAGTCGTACCAAAGCTCGGAGAGCGTTCAGCTGAGTTTACATGGTTTAAACTCAAGAATATAAGTAAGGGGCAATTAACACTGGGGCCCGTGCTTTTTTAAGTCTGAATGCCAGATTGAGATTGTCCAACTGAGTCCTTAAAATACAAAAAAATCAAGTCTGAATTGCAGTTTCTCCTGCAACACAATACTTAAAGGTGGGTTAGGTAATTTTGGAGAAACCAGCTCCAGTGGCTAGAATTTGAAAATACACAACCGGAAAAAATCTGCCACGTCCTTACAGAGCCCCTCCTCCAACACACACGAACGCGCACATGACCAACGAGGGCACGAGATAAGTTTGTGCACAGATGGAAGGCTGACAGGCAGGTAGAACATCCAGTTACTTTAGCCGGGGCGGCTAAAATGATTGGTCGTGCTTTTTTACAGTACTACGGCTTCCACAGATGATATTTTTTTATGGATTTTTTGTCAAAGCACTTAAGATATTCATTGCTATCGGGATGTTAAGAGCATTCCATGGAATATAACAAAGTGTACCTCGAGCCAGTTTCTCAAACTTACCTACCCCACCTTTAAGCAAACCCCCCCCAAAAAAGCAATTTATTTTTGCCAGACGGGGAATTGTCTGAGTGGCCACTGCCATTAAAAAACTAGAGCTCATATTAACTATGCTCATCCCACAAAAGGCAATTTACCTGTTTTTTGATTAGGTGAATTTCTATTTATAGTAACCAAAATCATGCAACGTTATATTGATCTGACACCCAAGAGACCCTGGTCCTTTGATTACTCAAAACATAAATAGCTGCAGTATTATAATTATAAATGGCTTTTAAACATTCTTGAACAAAATAATATAACATGTTTAACCAACACTTAATTTAGAGCAATTTTATCACAACTATTGTATATTGTTCTTGGAACAAGACTTGACCAATCATGACACAGCAACATGAAAGCATGCAACAACAAATAAGTGTCTAACAAGTGCAGAGCAAAATATAAACAGGTTTAAAAACTGACATTAAAGATCAATTAAAATGATGTCCATGCAAGCAAACTTATTCAGTCTACAGCTTTGCGGTTTTCTTTCCGATACATTTTTTTTTTTAATCAAACATTGCACAAGCCATGCTGTTTTTATGAAGTTACATTATTCTGTTGCAATACAGGAAATGCATTCCCTTAATGTTTCAACATGTGGAGGTTAGTAATATTACGATGAATAGTGGCATACTGAAATAGATTTGGGCACCATTTGGGAAAGCATTTCCTGCTTAATGCTTACAAAAAATCTTATTTAAGCTCTTAACTCACCTTCCTTGGTAAAAATGTGTTGAGCTTAAACTATTACTCAAAGTCAAATGCTCAACACGTTCTTTTCATCCAGTTAAATCGCAAGCCATTCAAAAGAAATGTAACAATCACCACCTTGCAAAACAAAGACAAAACTATGGACGTACCACAACTCGAATGGGAAAATGTCAACAATGTTATCAGGAGTACTCACTTGTCAAATTCTGAATGCAAGATGAGAGGAAAGAAGCTTGTGTTAAAATGTGAGTTTTCTTCATAAACAAGTTGACATGAAACTATCTACTCAAATGGAAGATACTTGCACTATCATCTGCTTTAGTTGATAAGAAAGAAAATCAAGCAACTACTTGGATACATCTCAAAGTTTTCCATTTGAAAGGCACCAGGGACCGTCTATTTTTGTCAATTTCATCAAAAATTAAATGTTCTATTAAAGCAGCTCTATCGAAAATGTAATCAAGCACATTAGTGGTGATATTTCAATTAAACAGATGTCAATCTACACAGACCACTGCAACTACAAATGCATTAATATGCTGGGTTGCTAGGCTGCACCCATTTATATGTCGCTCTAGGGACACTGGGACAATCTTTTATTTAAAGAACTAACAGAAAAAATTCTATATGTTGACTTCTCTACTCAGCCCTTGACACTCTGCATTTATATTAGCATATCAAATTAAAACAACAAAGGGTGAATAAGACTAGGCACTGAAGTTTTTTTTAACAAATGCCACTCAAACAGGGCTATTTTAAGCATCACTAGTGAGCATTTCTGGCAGCAGTAAGGTGTATGAGCTCATGTTAATTATTATGAAAGAAAAATGACCCTGGGTGCATCAATGTGGCATATTGATGTGTTCTGTTTATCTACAACAAGAGTCAAATCAGTGTTTTATGTGGTCTTTACATGGAGTTTAATGATAATAAATAAAAATTGCCAGCTTTAACCTTTCAATATGCTTATGAGTGAATATCCCCTTTTGAGGAAGTCACCTCAAATAACCTCAGCCAAGTGTCTGATGCATTTAAGCACCCCAGTAAGGGTGAAGTACAGTGATATGCAAATGCTTAACTATACTAGCACTGATATACTAACTAATAATATTGTATTTCAAAGATTGACGATAAAACCCACAGCTTACTTACAGGACTATGCCATCATCACGCCCTACAACTCAAAATAACTGCTTTATATCTGAAAACGTGCTATTTTTCTATTGAGATAACAGGTCCTTTCTAAAATGACATTACATCCTAAAACAATGCAACACTTTCACTTAAGGTCAGAAAAGTGTGACTGTTAAGGTCATGAATGAAAACCTGTCATGCAACATAAACAATTTATGAAAGGCAGGGAGCTGTCTTCAGAAGGTGCGCCCTGCTAACCTCAACATTAGCCATCTTTCATCTGTTAGTAGGTCCTAGCTGCGATTAAACGCCGTCAGTGGGTGGTTAATATTAAATGCGACACAATTACTACGCGTTACAATTCGACACTTGGCTATTGTTTTCGTTTACTAAGAGTAAAATGTAAATGTAAAACAGCGTCTGAAGCCGGTGTCCAGCCGGCGTGACAGCCACTGCGTTAGCACCGCGGATGTTGAGCACTAGCAAGCTGCTAGTTCAGCTAGCCGCTAGCTAGCCTGGGCTAACCCACGCCGAGCACCTCCTGTCTGTAAACCGCTGAATCTCCATTCATTGCCCAAAATGTCTCTCAAATGATTGGAGATATTATTCCCCAGACTGATACCCCCAGCTGTCAGTCAGTGTTAACGTACTTACTGCTGTGTATTTTGTCTTGTCGGTGTGAAGACAGGCCGGTGGATTAAACGCGTGTTTCTCCAGCAGTCGGTGAGTGACAACGGGAAAGAGGAGGGAGGAAGGACAAGGAGCACCGGTGATTGTGTGATCTGAGTATGGGGGAGGGGCCATTTTCAATCTCAAATGTGTTGACATTGCATGATCGGATTAGTATTTACTAATGTTAGTGGAGTGGAGTCATTTGCATAACTGAGACAGAACAATGATGGGTATTTGGTTTAAATAACTAATACCCCAATGTTCAACCTTTGTCCTATTACAACAATCCCCAACTCTTTATGACGTTATGTTATTGTATAAAACGAAATCCCAGAACCTTGTTTTGCAATGGCAAGTAGGACCTTAAGACAGTGAGCAAGAAGTACTCAGACTTTTAGTAGTAAAAGTCATCCATTTAAAATCTGACTTAAATAAAAGTACACAAGTGTTTTAATATATTAGATTAGTAATGCAATAGTGTGTTCATTATTTTAATGTAGCAGATGGTTAAGGTAGGGCTTTGGATTTTTTTTTGTATACACTAGGGCTGCAGAAAAATAGTAAGTTAGTAGTAAGTATGTTCAAATGAATGAAATGTAGATTTCCTGCTTTTCAGTATTTTATATAGCACTCTTACTCTTTAAAAACAAACAAGAAATTGGAAGAAATCACCTTGATAATTATTTTATTATCCAACATTTTGGTTGTGTGCTTAATTTGGACAAATATTAGGCCTTTATATACATTGTTTCTTAGGTTGATGCTACATAATAAAGTTTGAATTTAGTCTGACACCAGTGTGACCCTCTGTATTCACTCTACATTGCCTTCAATAAAAGTGCCTCAACATTTTAAAAAGTACATAAAAGTACTGTGCATCCAAGTGTATTTACAATACTAGCGAATGTAATTCCTGAAGAAATTGCTAGTGGGAATGCTTTATGCTGAAAAGCTGACGCTGAACTGCTATGCTGAAATGTAATGTGTAAGAAGAAAGTGAAGAATTTAGATTGAAATTACAGTTGCAAGAAAAAGTATGTGAACCCTTTGGAATTACCTGGATTTCTGCATAAATTGGTCATAAAATGGAGGAAGCCACTGCTGTCCAGAAAAAACATTGCTGCACGTTTGAAGTTTGCAAAAGAGCACCTGGATGTTCTGGCAAAATATTCTGTGGACAGATGAAACGAAAGTTGAGTTGTTTGGAAGGAACACACAACGCTATGTGTGGAGAAAAAAAGGCACAGCACACCAACATCAAAACCTCATCCCAACTGTGAAGTATGGTGGAGGGAGCATCATGGTTTGGGGCTGCTTTGCTGCCTCAGGGCCTGGACAGATTGCCATCATCGACGGAAAAATGAATTCTCAAGTTTATCAAGACATTTTGCTGGAGAACTTAAGGCCATCTTTCCACCAATTTAAGCTCAACAGAAGATGGGTGATGCAACAGGACAACGACCCAAAGCACAGAAGTAAATCAACAACAGAATGGCTTCAACAGAAGAAAATAGGCCTTCTGGAGTGGCCCAGTCAGAGTCCTGACCTCAACCCAATTGAGATGCTGTGGCATGACCTCAAGAGAGCGATTCACACCAGACATCCCAAGAATATTGCTGAACTGAAACAGTTTTGTAAAGAGGAATGGTGCAAAATTCCTCCTGACCGTTGTGCAGGTCTGATATGCAACTATAGGAAACGTTTGGTTGAGGTTATTGCTGCCAAAGGAGGGTCAACCAGTTATTAAATCCAAGGGTTCACTATACTTTTCCACCCTACACTTTGAATGTTTACATGGTGTGTTCAATAAAAACATAAAAACATATAATTTTTTGTGTGGTTTTAGCTTAAGCAGACTGTGTTTGTCTATTGTTGTGACTTAGATGAAGATCAGAACACATTTTACGACCAATTTATGCAGAAATCCAGGTAGTTCCAAAGGGTTCACATACTTTTTCTTGCAACTGTACATGATTCAGTGTATCAATACCCTCCTCTGTAGACTTAAATACTTGTCTCTCTGCAGCTCAGAGTCCGGAGGGGTGCACAGCGGGGGGGCGGCAGGTAAGCTCACAGGAAGCTACCCCTTCACAATAAAAGCCTTCATGGAAACTGCTTCTATAGATCTGTCTTCTTCTCACTGACACAACATCTGCTCTTTACAGAGGAAGACGTCAGAACCACCGGGTCCGGGCTCTCCCCTGAAGAGGTTCTCCCAACGGACTCTGGACCTGAAGACCTCCAGGAGACTTCAGAGGGTCCAGAGGTGGTGGTCCCTGACACCAAGGGTCTTCCTGAGTCTGAAAAGGTCCAGGATTACTCTGTGGAGATTCAGGATGTGTCCCCAGAAGGCGAGGAGCCGCCCTCAGAGGTCATGGTTCAGGAGGTCCACACACAAGCTACCACTGTAGTTCTTACGAAGCCCACCACAGAACCAGAGTCAGTGATCCTGGAGACAAATCCTGTCCTGGACCCAGAACCCAAAGACAGTTCTTTGGGTATCACGAGGGACGTACCATCAACGCAGGAGGTTGAAGACGAGGATCTACCAGAGACACCTGAATCAGTTGAGGAGGGAACTCTTGCAGAACCAGAAGAAGATCCTTTAGAGACCGAGGTAGATGAATCAGAAGAAGATCCTTTAGAGACCGAGGTAGATGAATCAGAAGAAGATCCTTTAGAGACCGTGACAGAAGAAGAAGCAGAGGTTCCTTCCCAGGCCTCCTTTCTGACCACGGACCGGACCATAGAAGAAGTCAGTGAAGCACCAGAAGACCAGCTGAGTTCCGGAGTTACCTCTGACCCGTTCGTCCTGATCCTACAAGAAGATGAAGACGCCACGGTGGAACCTGAAGAAGATCTGGTCTTAATAGAAGAAGTAACCAAAGAGTACGCGGAGGTGATTCCAACTACGGCAGGCCTACCAGCAAAAGAAGAAGAACCAGCTCAGGGAGTAGCTGCCGTAGAAGATCCGGTACAAAAACTGGCTGAAGAAACTGAAATCACTGAAGTACCAGCACAGGAAGTGGTTCATGTAGAAGATACAGGACTCGTAGAAGAAGCAGAACTCGTAGAAGATAAGGAGCCTCGAGGAGAACCAACAGAAGAAGACGGACTAGTAGAAATTGCAGAAGAGACAGTACCTACAAGAGGTATCACACAAGAATATTCGGGAGAAGAAGTAGGTGAACCCGAATCAGAAGGATCCGAACCAGAAGTTGCTGAGGAAGCGGTCTCAGAGAGTCTCCTCTTGACAGAACCAGAGGTACCAGAGCCAGAAGACCCTGAGGAAGAACCAGAATCTGTCCCTGAGGAAGAACCAGAGTCTGTCCCTGAGGAAGAACCAGAGTCTGTCCCTGAGGAAGAACCAGAGTCTGTCCCTGAGGAAGAGGTGGTCCAAGAGGGTCCGAGTGAAATATCTCCAGAAGTCGGGACTCCCACCGGAGCAGGAACCGCAGAACCGCAGAAAGTCCTGGAAGAGGTACCTGTGGAGGTCCTACCTGAGGGCCCCCTGGTGGAGGTCCCTGCAGAGAACACCCCCGGCCCCCTGTTGGAGGTCCCTGCTGAGAAGGTGGAAGCCACCACCAAGTACGTGGTTGAGTACAACAACGGGAACTTCCCGGCCCTGACGGAGCGGCCCCTGGACCTGGACGGGTTTGGGAACAGCTTTGGTCTGGAAGATGAGGACTCGGTGAGTAAACTTGGCCCCTGAACAAACCCTCATCCGGTTCTGGTTCTGACGTCCTGTCTGGTTTCAGATCGGGAACGAGATAGACGGTACCCTGCTGTGGCCCCAGAGGGCCCTGAAGGAGCAGGTGGTGGAGCTGAGCCTCAAACTGAGAGGAGAGACCTTCAGTGACGCCCTGAGGGACCCGAGCAGCACCCAGTACCAGCTGCTGGACCGCCACTTCATCCGTAGGGTGAATACTATAATTTATTTTACTCTAACACAGTGGTTCCCAACCTGGGGGGTGCCAAAGATCGCAGGGGGCACGCCAGGCTTCAGATGATTTGAGGCCAAATATCATATTTAGACTTTTTTTTACATATAATTGTAACGCAATACATGATTGTCACTAAAAGCCTTGTCTCTACATAACAATAAAAGATAAAAAACAATTGATTAATGAATTTGAATAAAAATTCAAGTTAGTAGCTATTATAGGCATACAAAGACAGAAATGTATAATTCTTTCTTTAATAGAAATGTTTCTTCTGCCCGTAAAGTGTCCAAACCAGGCTTATCTGGTTAAGCACATTTTTAAAACCGGAGGGGGTTCTTGGGAAAAAAGGTTGGGAACCCCTGCTCCAACACACACTCGGGCCCTCCTTACTGTATGATGTCTCCGGGTTCTGCAGACATGGGGGTCCCTTTGTTTCACATCTTTCTTGTGCATCTAGTTTTAGTGGTTTCGTGTCTCTCCAGTTTTGCTCGTCTTTCTGGTATTTTTGCATCTGGTTTTATTGGTTGTGGTTCTTTTTAAATTCATATCATTTGGTCTCTCTGTTTGGGAGTTGTTTGTCTTGTTGTTTGTTTTCAGTTTGCATCTGATTCTGGTTTTTATTAGTTTCCCTCTCTGTCTATCAGTTGTGCATCTGTTTTGAATCTCTCTGTGTGTAGTGGTGTTTCCCTGAGGTGTTGTTCTGGATCGTGGTTCTGTGTTGTGGTTCTGTAGGTGTTTCCCAGTGGGACTCTGTGGTTCTGGAGGTGTTTCCCAGTTGGACTCTGTGGTTCTGTGTTGTGGTTCTG